AGAAAATTAAGAGGTGAAGTTGAATAAATTATTTTCACTACTAGGTACAGTCATGTGTCTCTAGTGACAAGGACATGATCTGAGAAATGCATCATTAGGCAGTTTTGTCATTGTGCAAACACAGAGTGTACTTATACAAACCTAGATGTAGGCTATATGGTAAAGACTATTGCTCTGTCCACTATTGTATTTGTGGTCTGTCATTGACCAAAACATTGTTATGTGGTGCATGACTGTACATCAATGGGGAAAATGTTCTGGGAATTTTATTAAAAATTGATTAAGCAAGTAAAAATAGTTTTCTACACTGTCTGTCAACATTTTAGCAAGATGAATGCATTTAACAAATGAATTTGAACATTACTTAAAATTACTTGCCTTATTGGACAATTTATTTCCATATTTTTTCTTATCTTAAAATGCAAATCTGCTGGACAGCACTATAAAAATCAATCTACATTTGATTGGCAAGGTTTTCTCCTTATTTCCCCATGATTGTTTACCATGTAAGGGGAAATAAGGTATTTTGTTTCAGTGGTGATAGCTTATTTATATATATGGATTAGTGGTTTTCAAATGTATTCTGGAGTCCATAAGTTGTTTATAAAATTTTTTTTAATATCACTTTGGTATCTTAATAATAAATTCGGAAAAAATTGCTTTGGGTATATTTTGACTCATCCAAATGACTGCCTGAAAACAAAGTACTGCCATTTGATTTCAATGTTCGTATGTTTGTCCTTGTGTTTTATCTTTGTGTTGTGAAGTCAAGCTGTACTATCTTAGTTGTTTTGGGCCAATAAGGTAAAAACAGATGTAATTGCTAAGTGATATTCCATAACCAAGAAAAGGCCAGATTACAGTATCTGGGACCTGGGGCTATGGGCACATTGTCTCAAAAGAACCTGGACCACTGCAGTCAGTTAAGACTGAGTGGTGATTATTTTCAAGGAACAAAATTCATTTCACTTAATTAATGATGCTAAATTGAATTTAATCAGTCTGAAAACAAACCAGATTTCTAAGGTATAAGTACAATTTAGTAATTAGAAGCCTTTTAAATTACATTATGGATAGAATCATAGATTTTTAAGTTTAGATTTTTATGTATTGGGTTTATTTATAATAAATTTTATCTATCTCTTTCAAACAACCATATTAATTCATAACTTGTATGTCAGGACTCAAACCATCCCATTTTTCTTCAAATGTTCAGGTGTATTGGCACTCAAGTGCTCACATAATGGGTGAAGCCATGGAAAGAATTTACGGTGGATGTTTATGTTATGGTCCACCAATAGAAAATGGATTCTATTATGACATGTACCTTGAAGAAGGGT